GTAGTTTATTAAAATAAGTTATGGCAATGGCATCACTTGGGGGACCTGCTGAAGTCTGATTTCCACTAACCGACGCCAGTACTTAACAGATCACGCAATGTGTTCCAGGGCCGTGGACTCTCATGACACTGGCTTTTAAGACACTTGTAGTAATTTTTCTTTATCTCAGAAATGGCTTTGGGTCGCGAGGTGGGGAAGATTTGAGATCTGACATGGTGCTTGTGGTGGGTGAGAAAGTTTCACAGGGATTCTACTGGATGCAAACACGTCACGTGGCTTGCGGCGGACAGCTGGAATGGACGAGTGACAAACACTCGGCCTCACAGGCAGCCAGCAGGTGTCCGTACCAAAGCACAGATCCTCTGGACCTCCAGTGAGGACCTGTGACCCCTTACCAAAGAGCCACAGAGGCCTCTCCTTTTCAATGTTTATAGTTCAAATGTGGATTTACAATTTCCTGCTCTAGGCAAATCACTTAAACCTTTGTTTACCTTTGGCAAAGTGAAAATTGCAAACTTAGATTCTGGGACCCTGGAACAGAAAGAAAATTGATTTTCAGTCTTCTTTATTGAGATTTGCAGTCAAATAATCCCCAAGAATTATTTGTCCAACTGCATGCACCACAGGCTGAGCATGGAGCTTTATAAAATTTCAAGATGCCCCGTCCCAACTGCAAAGAAGTTTTTAGACGTGCGGGTGTCTAGGTGTGAGATGAGGGATGAGAGAGAGGTGCATTTTTTCTTCTTAAAGCCTCAGGGAAGATATAAAAGAGTAAATGGAGCAGGTCTGATCCTTCAGAAAGAAAATGGAATAAGTATATGGAATAATTAGGGGACGATTCCAAATAGTAGGCAATAAAATGTTAAATTCTAAGGTACTGAATGGAAAGCATTATTAACTATCAAACTATAAGTACCTCCAAATCCACAGGGGACTGGGTCCAGGATGCCAAAATCCCAGACGCTCCAGTCCCTTTTATAAAATGGCCTGGTATTTGCATATAAACTACCCACGTCCTCCCCTGTACTTTAAATCATCTCTAGATTACTTATAATACCTAATACACTGTAAATGCTATGTAAATAATTGCCAAAGCACAGAAAATTCAAGTTTTATAGTTTTTGGAACTTTCTGGAATTTTTTCCCGGAGTATTTCCAACCTGTGGTTGGTTGAATCCACTAGGATGCAGAACCCGCAGGTGCAGAGGGCAGACTGCCATTTTCTTTCCATTCACACCTAGTCATTCATCTTCTTCGTTGCCAACAATACTCCTTATTCTGCTGGTAACGATCTCAACTATTCACATGCTCCAAGTTGTCAATATTCCAAAGTTCCTTCCAAAATGCCTCCCTCCTCCCGTCTTCCTAAATACCAACAGTCTCCTAGTTTCATCACCCCCCTTCTCTACTGCACGCCTCCAGGCCGCCCTTGGCCGTCCAGGCCGCGCTGTCCTTCACCTCCGCAACCACGTGACGTCTCCCGAGTGGTAAGTACCCTGCACGGGAAATCCCTGCCGCCAGTCTGGGAACCGGGGCGCTACAAACGGGTCACGATTCAGCAGCCAGGGCTACTTGGTCCCCCGCCGCTTCTGCCCCCTACGTCACCTGTTCTCCAGTCTACAGATAATTCTTCACTAAACACTTTGATCGAAGTATACCTGAGTCACTTTCTCACCGTGGACCATTACGACAAAATCACTTATTCACTTTGGAATCCAGTGGCGGGTAAATCTCTCCTTGGTCAGCAGTCTAAAGCCACCTAGGAGACAAGTTCTGGTCCCGCCTGAGGTGGAGCAGCGCCCTCCCTAGCCTCTCCCTGTGAGCGTAGCTACGGCCGAGGGCCTGACAGGTCACCTGCAGCGGACACTCGAGGGCCCTGAAAAGAACAGAAGCAGGTGGACTGAAGGAGACCAG